TTAATTTAATTATATTTATTTAATTATTAATTTAGTTACGAGATGGCGCCTAACGCTTACCTCTTAAGACAAATTGCTTTGGTTCTAATCATTTTAAGTAGCCATATTATAGCCCGTTATTCAGGCGATCGTTTGGAAGTTTTATATGTATACCAATCGGGCTTTATGTTGATGTTATTTATATATATATACCTCGCCGGGTGTTACGTTAGCTGGCTGAGTGCCATTGAGGGTCGTGGGCGATGAAGTCGCCCCCAGTCAGTGATGTATTTAACCAAGTAAGGTTATATCTAATCTATTATATATACTTCTGGAAGCGAAGGCTTGCTCGGGGTCCGGGTGGCGTAACTGGTAGCGCACCGCACGGTAAGCGGAGGTTGCGGGTTCGAGCCCCGTCCCGGGCCAGTTCTTTTATTCCAGAGGGTTCTAAATTTATTTATTTATAATTATTAATTTACTTAAGAGATGGCACCTAACATCTACCTCTATTGTCAAATTACTTTATACTAATCATTTAATTAGCCATATTATAGCCTGATATTAAGGCGATCGTTTGGTGATTTATTGTATACATGCAAGATGAAAGTCATAGGTTTTTCGAAAGAACTTGTAAAAACAGCTAATCATAATATATAAAACCATTAAAAATTTTAAAATAAAGTGATCAAAATTTTTGATAAACAAAAAAATGAAGGAAAATCTAATAATAATTTGAGGAGAAGACTGCAGAAAAGTACTTATTCAGATATGCACTAAATATACAATGCAATAATACAACTATGAATACTATTTAATTTCTCTGTGTTATAATTTATTTATTTTGAAAAAATTTATAAAATATAAATTTTTTTCAAAATGTAAAATGTAGTGTAAAAATGTTTATAATTTTTACACTACATTTTACCAAAATTATGCATATAAAAAGTCTCATTGTAGTATAAAAACAGTATTTAGATAAATTGTTTTAAAAGTGACTTATGTCTAATCATTATTTACACTATTTTAACAAATTAAATTTATTATTATATTAAATAAAAAATGTTCTATATACATATAAAGAAATTAAACAGTTAAATTTTTTTTATAATTTATCTTTAGTTTTTATCTTAGTAGTATATTATCGGTAAGAATGCTTTGCTTTAGCATAAATTTTAATATTTTTGCATTTATTAATAACTAGCAGATAAGCCTAGCATTGCCCAAGTAAATAATAACAATTATTAAAATTATTTGATTATTTTGCATTTCTAATCCTTATATTATGTTATAGTATATTTGATTTATATAACTACAAAGGTTATCTTATGCAAGGGTTTATCACACACAATCTTGTTAGATTGGTCACTTTGTGTGATAAACCCTTGCATAACCTTTGTAGTTACATAAATC